TTTAATGTCTTTTTCTTGCCTTATTGCCCTGGCTAAGGGTTCCAGAACTATGTTGAAGAGGAGTGGAGACAGTGGGCATCCTTGTCTTGTTCCTGATTTTAGGAGAATTGGTTGTAGCTTTTCCCCATTAAGTATAATACTGGCTATTGGTCTGTCATAAACGGCTTTTATTGTTTTTAGAAATGTTCCTTATATTCCTATTTTCTCCAGAGCTTTTAGCATGAATGAATGTTGAATTTTATCAAAGGCCTTTTCTGCATCTGTGGCGATAATCATGTGATTCTTGACCTTGGCTCTGTTGATGTGTTGGATTACATTTATTGACTTACGTATGTTAAACCATACCTGCGTCTCTGGGATGAAGCCTACCTGGTCATAGGGTATAATTTTTTTTATGTGTTTCTGGATTCTGTTAGCTACAATCTTGTTAAGGATCTTTGCATCTGTGTTCATCAAGGAGATTGGCCTGTAATTCTCCTTTTTGGTTGGGTCTTTGCCTGGTTTGGGGATGAGTGTGATATTGGCTTCGTAGAATGAGTTTGGGATAGCTCCCTCCTTCTCTGTTTTTCTGAAGAGCTTGAGGAGTATGAGCATTAGTTCTTCTTTAAAGGTCTTATAGAATTCTGCTGTGAATCCATCTGGTCCTGGGCTTTTTTTTGTTGGAAGACTTTTGATAGCTTCCTGTATCTCGTTATAGGATATTGGCTTATTTAATTGGTTTACTTCTTCTTTGCTCAGTTTGGGCAACTTGTATTTCTCTAAAAATGCATCCATTTCTGCCAGATTTTCTTCCTTTAGAGAGTATAACTTTTGAAAGTAGTCTGTTAGAATTGTTTGGGTATCTTGGACACGTGTTGTGATTTTTCCCGTGGCATCCCTAATCCTGTTAATATGGGTTTCCTCTCTTCTTTTTTTAATTAATCTTGCCAACGGGCCATCAATTTTGTTTATTTTTTCAAAGAACCAGCTTTTTGTTTGGTTTATTTTGGTTATAGTTTTCTGATTTTCTAATTGGTTAATCTCTGCTCTTAATTTGGTTATCTGGCTTCATCTAGTAACTTTAGGTTCCATTTTTTCTTGTTTTTCTAGCTGTTTTAATTGCAACATGAGATTATTTACTTGGTCTGTCTCCATTCTCTTGATGTGGGCACTGAGGGCAATAAATTTGCCCCTCAGGACTGCTTTTGCTGTGTCCCACAAGTTTCTTTGTGAGGTGTTTTCATTTTCATTGAGTTGTAGGAAATGCTTTATTTCTTCTCTGATCTCTTCCGTTACCCAGGCATTGCTAAGGAGTGTGCTGTTCAATTTCCATGTGTTAGAGAAATTTCTGCGGTATGCTTTCTTATTGAGAGCTAGCTTGATTCCACTGTGGTCAGATAGGATACAGGGGATTATGTCGATCCCTTTGTATTTGCTTAAGTTCCTTGCATGAACTATGATATGGTCTATTTTGGAGAAAGTTCCATGAGCTGCTGAGAAGAATGTGTACTGTGTTGTTTTAGGGTGAAATACTCGGTAGATGTCAGTTAATTCCGCTTGAAGTATGGCCTCACTTAATTCGGTAGCTTCTTTGCCAATCCTCTGGTTGGTAGACCTGTCCTTTGGTGAGAGTGGTGTGTTAAAATCTCCTAGTATTATCGTATTGGGATCTATTTTATTCTGTAAGTTTGAGAGCATTTGTTTAACATATCTGGGTGCACCAATATTTGGGGCATATAAGTTGATTATGGTAATATCCTCCTCTTGGATTGTTCCCTGTATTAATATGTAGTGTCCGTCCTTGTCTTTCTGTACTGATTTTAATGAAAAGTTTATTTTGTCAGCTATCAGGATAGCTACACCTGCTTTCTTATTGGGGGAATTTGATTGGTAGATCGTTTTCCACCCCTTCACTCTGAGTTTGTTTGTATGTTTGGCTGAGAGGTGGGTCTCCTGAAGGCAACAGATGGATGGGTCTTGTTTTCTGATCCAGTCCTCAGTTTGTTTTCTTTTAATTGGCGAATTCAGCCCATTTATATTAAGAGAAAGTATAGAGAGATGCATTGTTGTCCCTGCCATTCCGTTTTCCTAAGTTTTTCTTCTTTCCTTTCCTCCTGTGCTTGCTAAGTTAGACTTTGAGTAATGCCTGTTTGGGGCAGGTCCCAGTTCCTGGTTGCTTTCTTCAGGTTGTGTCCCCCCTCTTAGAATTCTTTGTAATGCTGGCTTAATGTTTATGTATTCATTTAGTTTTTCTTTGCTATTAAAAGTTTTCAGTTCTCCATCGAATGTGAATGCTAGCTTTGCCGGGTATATCAGTCTGGGTTGGCAGTTATTGGCTCTCAGGGCTCGTATGGTGCTTTCCCAGGCCTTTCTTGCATTCATTGTTTGTGTGGAGAGATCTGCAGTGATTCTAATTTTTTTCCCGTTGTAGTATAGCTCCTTCTTCATTTTTTCTGCATGCAGGATTGTTTCCTTATTATTCAGATCTATCATTTTTACTATAATGTGTCTAGAAGTGTTTCTCCTGGGATCTTGCTTGTTGGGTGTTCTATATGCTCCTGCTATGTAGGTAAGATGCTCCTTTTTGAGGTGGGGAAAATTTTTCACTGATTATCTTATTGAATAGGTGTTGCATTCCCTTGCTCTGGAATTCCTCACCTTCGTCCACTCCAATTATACGAAGGTTAAATTTCTTGGCATTATCTGCTTGCTCTTGAATTTCCCTTTGGTTTAATTTGAGTGATTTTTCCATATCTGTTACTTTTTGGTCCAGTTGGTGTATTCTGTCTTCTGTATCTGACACTCTACCTTCCATTTCATTCACTCTGTTGACCATGGCTTCTATTGTGGTTTGCATGGAGGAAATGGATCCCTTTATGGATTCAATGTTGGTTCTCATAGTACTGATCTCAGTATGCATTACCTCTAATTTGGCGTTTATCTCACTTCTTACTGAAGTTTGTGCAGCTTCTATTTTTGCATGCATCTCTTGTTTGATATCCTGTATCTCTTTTGATAGTTCATCCTTGTGCTCTTTCAATTTCTGATCAATTTCTCGCTTTATTTCTTGAGTCATTGCCTCCAGCAACCCTTGGATGTAGCTTTTGTCTTCCATTCCTGCTTTGCTCCCACTGGGGCTCTCCCCTGCGTGGCTGCTGGCTTTTGAGGTTAGCTTGCTTTCCTGGGTGGTGGTAAACCTTGTAATTTTTCTCTGTGATTTTCGCATGGGGGTTCAGGAGACTGATCTGCAATTTTGTTTTGGTGTGTCTGTCTTTGCTTGGTTGCTGCTTCTGTATTGGTAGAGAGAGTCTGTGCCTGATCTGGGTTCTGTTGGGAGCCTATTTCCAGCTGCTGTTCTGACCTACTTAGGATTCTCGGCTCTCTGCTGTAGATTGCTGGCAATTCCCGCCTTTGGAAGGGTTGAGCAGCCTAGACTGCTTGTGTTTGCTCCTACGGGTGTTCTTGGAAAGATCAGATGCTCTGGATGCACTCTCCCAGATACTGGAGTCTGCTATGGGCTCCTGATGTGTTTTTGTTTGTTTGTTTGTTTGGGGCTGGTTGTGGGCTTGAACTCTAGGTTTGGGTGCTGTCCCTCAGCTCTTCAGCTCAAGGCTGGCACCCTACCATTTGAGCCACAGCACCACTTCTGACCCTTTTTGCTTTTGTGATGCTGAGGAATCAGATCCAGGGCCTCATACATCCAAGACTATCCCTCTACTGCTGAGCCGCCTTATCAGTCTGAGCTCCTGCTTACTATCAGGTGCTAGCAGCCTGTGTTGCCCAATTCCCAGCCTAGGGTATATGGGTGGAGTTTTGGTGGGGTTTGGGCTTCTCTTGTCCTGAGCCTCCAGGTCTTTTGTTGTCACAGGCGTGCTTCCCAGGGAGTGCTGTTCCCTGTTTTTCTCCCCTCTGCTGAACTTTTGACTTCAGTTGGGAGGAGTTGGTTGTGTTGTTCAGGTGCCGGATCCCCAGGCCTGGTTCTGGCCCCCACCTGGAACGCGCTCGTTAGGCCTGTGCTGCTGTGTATTCCACCTAGGTTATGCAGCCTGGGGTACACAGTTCAAATTTCTTCTACTGTTGGTAGTCTTGACCCAGGGGCGCTGTTCCTGGCTTGGGCATTTAAGCTCCCTTCAGGGGCGCTCTTGCTCTAGGCTGGCCAGCGGAGTGTGCTCCACAGGCTGGTGGAGCTCTCAAACAGTTCCCAGTTTTAGTGGGTCCTGTGGTCCGGGTGTTGGGGTAGGGAGTCTGGGTCAGGATCTGGGGATTCCCTCCAGCTCTGGTCTCCCTTGAGGGATACACTGTCCCCTGTGGGGTACTCAACCTGGACCTAGTTGTTTCTGTGTGGTGTAGGTCGTCAGTTGCTGTTGCAATCCGAGTTCAGTTGGGGTGGTTGCGGGCTGAGCTGGGCGGTGGTGACTCTGTGTGATTCTTTTCTGTCTCTGCCTCTATCGAAGCTGTCAGGTCCACAGTATCCACGCTCAGGTGGCTTCTGCTCGGGTGATCTGCAGGCAGCCCCCTGTGTCTCTGGGACGCCGGGTTGTAGAGATCGGTGGGTCTGATGCCGGTGCCTCAGATGGCTTCTGCGCGGGTGATCTGCAGGCAGCCCTCTCTGCCTCTCAACTGGCAAAAATTTTAAGATGGCTGGGAAGGTGGCTCAGTGGTAGAGTGCTTGCCTTGCATGTATGAAGCCCTGCGTTCCATTCCTCAGCACCACATAAGCAGAATAAGCCGGAAGTGGTGCTGTGGCTCAAGTGGTAGAGCGCTAGTCTTGAGCTGAAGAGCTGAGGGACAGCACCCAGGCCCAGAGTTCAGGTCCCATGACTGACAAAAAATAATAATAATAATAATTAAAAATAAAATCATCTGTTAGCTCTTTGTTGAAGACTCTTCAAGTCTGTAATCTAGAACACTTTGAATTCATAGAAGTAACTAGTGTTCTGACCCAGGTCAGAACTGGTCAGGAAGCTGCCTGATGTCTATAAGCATAATCACCAACAGCACTGTGCATTTGGTTTCTTCAGGTGGCAGAGCGAGCACTGTACTACTGGAACAACGAGTACATCATGAGTCTGATCAGTGACAATGCAGCAAAGATCCTGCCCATCATGTTTCCATCCTTGTACCGCAACTCAAAGACCCATTGGAACAAGTAAGAAAGAACAGGCTTGGGGCTGGGAAGGAGGCTCAGTGGTAGAGTCATTGCCTTGCAAGGGTTCAGTTCCTCAGCACCACATAAGCAGAAAAAGCCGGAAAGTGGCACTGTGGCTCAAGTGGTAGAGTGCTGCGCCTTGAGCTGAAGAGCTGAGGGGCAGCGCCCAGGCCCAGAGTTCAGGCCCCATGACCGACAAAAAAAAAAGAAAGAAAGAACAGGCGCCCATCTTTCCTTGTCATTGTTCAGTGATGCATATCTTCTTGTTATTGCAACTAGAATTGCAATCCAAATTTTACTACCAGTTTAGAATTAATGTTTCATGGACTTTGCTTCCAAGGCTGATTCTGAACCATGATCCTCTGATTTCAGCCTTCTTAGCAGCTAGTATTATAAGCACCAGTGTCTAGCTGTTTCGGTGACTTTTTTATTTTAATTATGTTTTTGTTTTTTTGTGTGTGTCACTCGTGGGGTTCTAACTAAGGGCCTGGGCCAGGAGGTAGCTACTCAGGAGGCTGACATCTGAAAGCAAATCCAGCCCAAGCAGGAAAGTCTATTAAACTCTTTATGTCCATAAACTACTCAAAAAAAAATGCTGGAAGGGCTGGGAAGGTGGCTCAGTGGTAGAGCGCTTGCCTTGCATGCATGAGGCCCTATGTTCGATTCCTCAGCACCACAGAAGCAAAAAGAAAAAAGCTGGAAGTGGTGCTGTGGCTCAAGTGGTAGAGTGCTAGCCTTGGGCTGAAGAGCTGAGGGACAGCACCCGGGCCCAGAGTTCAGGCCCCACGACCAGACCCAAAAAAAAAAAAAAAATGCTGGAATTAGAGTTATGGCTCAAGTGGTAGAATGCTAGCCTTGAACAAAAGAAGCTGAGGAACAGCACCCAGGCTCTGAGTTCAAGCCCCAAGACCAGCACCCCCCAAAAAGCATAGACACTAGAATCTGGCCACCATTGGCCCACATCTATAATCATAGCTACTCAGAAGGCTAAGACCTGAGGATCACAATTCAAAGCCATCTGGGCAGGAAATTCCTCAAGACTCTTATCTCCAATGAGCCAGAAAAAAGCTAGAAGTAGAAGTATGTCTCAAGTGGTAGAGCACCAGCCGTAGGCAAAAAAAAAAAAAAGTGAGCTGGGACCCTGTGGCTCACACCTGTAATCCCAGCTACTCAAGAGGCTGAAATCTGAGAATCATAGTTCAAAGCCAGCCTGGACAGGAGACTCTTATCTCCAATAAACTACTCAAAAAAGCCAGAGGTGATAGAGCACTCACCTTGAGCAAAAGAAGCTCAGAGACAGCGCCCAAGCCCAGAGTTCAAGCCCTAAAACTAACACACATACACCACAAGAAAGGAAAGAAGGGAGGGATATAAGTAAGGAGGGAGAGAGAGAAGGAAGTAGACACTGGGTGAAAACTAGCAGGTTTTTCATGTTAAATCCTCCTAAACTTGTGGCAGAGCCTCTGGTTGGAGAGGAAGGAAGGACTGGTGTGGCAGAGGAAGGAAAGAGGGTGGTCCAGTGTAGAGTTTCACTGTAATGTTTCCTTGGTAGGACCATACATGGCCTGATATACAATGCCCTGAAACTCTTCATGGAAATGAACCAGAAGCTCTTTGACGACTGTACTCAACAGTTCAAAGCAGAGAAACTAAAGTAAGTTGCTCCTTGCACATGTGGCTGTTTATAGGATATTTTTTCTTAATCCTAAATTGTTTTGTCCTCAATTGTTCTAAACCTTAAAGCAATGACAGACCTCTCACAGGTGTTTAAAGTCAGCTCTCTTCACCCTGATACTAGTTTAGTCACTCTTGGGATGCGGTATGGTTAGGAAACTAGCCTGTAGGACAGCTGGTTTTCTCTGGGGACACATTAAGGCTGTTCTGGATAGTAATTTATCATGTGTGTAAAGCAGAATTTTAATTACGTCCTAAAGGGTTTATGTAAAAGAGCAAGAATCCGCCTTGTAGTATAGCTTTATTCTGACTGACTGTTCTCCATGCTCTCAGGGATCTAGGCCATCTCTGGAAAAACCAAGATGCTGCCTTTGTGCGTTTGGGAACTTCAGAGCCCACATTTGCCCAGTGTTAGTCTGGGTGGTAAGACATTGTATCCCTCAGCTGCACACATAATCGTGTGATTGCTCATTGAAGTCACCCTCCAGCCTGGCCTGGTGTGTCGTGGCTATAATCCCAACTGGGCAGGAAGCATAGGTAGATTAGCCTAGGCAGCCTGGGCAAAAAAGCACAAAAGACCCTGTCTGAAAAATAACCTAAAACAAAAAAGAAAAGAGGCACAGCTCAAGTGTTAGAGTGCCAGCCTAGCAAGTCTACAGGCCCTGAGTTCAGACCCAACTATCCCCACAGTACCGCCCAGTATGGGCTGCTAGCAGATTTTGCTCTTTGCTTGTCACTTAAAACTATCTAGGGTAGATAACTTGGAATGGATAGAATCCAGACTACAAGGTATCTACATGGCCACCCATCATTTAGTCATTCTTGAGATAAACGTGCATTTCTGCATACCAACTCTGCTTTAGTTTTTTTTATTTTTTTATTATTATCTTTAAGTAGTTGTACAAAGACGTTCCCATTCTACAAAACAGTATGTGAATACGAGGTGTCTGACAACATTGTCACCCATCTCTCCTAACCCGTCCTGCTTTAGCTTTGCGAAGGCTACAGAAGCAAACAAAACAAAAATCCTCACCGGAAGGCTGATATTTTACCTAAAATGGTCAAGAACAAAATACGACTCAGCGAAAGGCAGAATGTGTGAGACAGTGGCAGGGCCACGGGAGAGCCGGAGGTGTGTGCTCTCCCGCACTGCGGCGTGTAGCGCCGAGCATGGGGCTGCCCCCAGGCCCTCCTCCTGCCGCAGAGCATCACAGCGAGAGAGGCACCAACGCATCTGAGGGATTATAAAAAACAGGGGCCGAACTCAATGACTTCCTGAAGGTCTTGTGGCTCTAAGGGTAGAATCAGAAAACCTTGTTCTCTGGCTCCGTCCACTCTGGTGCCTTCACTCCATGCTAATCTTGTCCTTTGTTGAGTAAATAAGCTCCACACCGAAGCAGTGGGTCCCATGGAGAGATAACCAATCAAGAATGGAAACATAAGATTTACCACTTCCTTATCTAAGACCTTTTTTTTAATTGAAATTTTTGTTAAATATTTAGCATTCCACCGTGTGTGGGTGGGGGGGGGGGGTGTTGGAGTTTGAACTTGAGGTCTTGTGGCACTCTACCACTTGAGCCATGCCCTCAACCCACCTTTTTTCAGTATTTTCCTCTAAACTCTCAGTTAGTCTTCACATTACAACATGCAGCGTGAGCAGCACCAGGAGGTGTGTGGAAGGAGATTGTGAAGGACCAGAGAAAGAGATGTGGGCTCATCTCAGCATTTCTACAAATGTGACTTTTCTCTAATTCAGATGACATTTTGCTATTTTTCAGAGAGAAGCTAAAGATGAAAGAGCGAGAAGAAGCATGGGTTAAAATAGAAAATCTAGCCAAAGCGAATCCCCAGGTACTAAAAAAAAGACTAATGTGAAAGTGTGCAGGTATTACTGACCTCTGTAGGACAGGGGCGTGGCGTCGCCAGGGAGGGGAAATCAATTTTACTAACATTGTACATGGAAATGTCTGCAATAAATACTTTTCAACTTTGTAACCTTCCTCTTGTATAAGTACTTATTTTGCCCCAAACCATTTTTACCACAGAATTTACTTTTTTTTCCTCTTCTTTGTAAATAAGAAATGAATCTTATTACTATACTGTGGTAAAAATAAAATGAGGATTTAACTTCTGCTCTAAGATTATGATTTGCTTTCCCACTTAAGTGTCAAGCTTAAGCTATGTTTCCCTTTCTTTTAAATATTGAATTAATTTCTTTTAAAAGAAAGAAAAATTGACTTGCAATAGGTGACGTGTAAATGAAGTAATGTCATTGTGTTTCTGTGGCCTCAGCCTTTCATGCTAAGGACTAATGAATTCTACCCTGTCAGCACTGACAGGGAGCAGTGAGCCCCGCACAATGTCTGCATGGAGTGGTGGACCTCCAGGACCTCCTACCTATTGTCTCCGGCCTGGCTCCAAGGCCACCATGGTCCTTTGATTTTGCATCCACTGGGCTCGCTAGTAGAACATTAGCACAAATGTGTCTTCTGATGGCCGCAGGGCCTCTATGAAAAGCATTGTCTGAATCTTTGCCACACTAGAATTCACAAGCTTCTTTCTCTCAGTTCCCCAGGGAAGAAAGTATTTTACTAAATCATGTGGTTCTTTTAGTGAGAGATGTACCTAAAAAGTTAATGTCCAAGGCTTGACGCGTCAGTTCTTAATGGTAAAAATCAAAACATAAGCATAAACTTAACAGTATGAATGTTATCAGTGCAACCACATCCTGGCCTGTATCTCTTGGATAAAACTGCAATTAAGAGACTTAAAACCATAAAACCATAGGAAGTGTGAATGACTCTCATTTGTGTATCCTTGATTTCACCCAGAAGTGGTAGTCAGTATTTTTGGGAAGAACTTGGTGTTGGAGGTGTGGCTCAGGTGGTAGAGCACCAGCTAATGAGCAAAAGCATCAGAGACTGAGTGAGTCCTGGTCCTGGTCAAAAAAAGTACTTATCCATGCTCTTGTGTAGAAGGACTGAGTAGCCAGGCAAAAATCCTGGTACTTGTTTTAAAATGTGGTAACACCGTAATCCTGTGGCAGATTTAGGTGGTTTGGCACTGTCTAACATTGCCCTAGGAGTCAGCTTCCTTTTAAGTTGTAGACAGATGCCCGCTCAACGGCTAATAGTCTTGAAGAGTGTGCAAAATGTGTGTAAACCAGAGCATCTGGTTTTCTCTACTTTCCCTAGAAGATAATGAGAATAACCTGTTGAGCAAACCACACATAGCACTGTTACGAATGAGCCTTAGCAGTGACCTGGCTTCATGACTGTCCCACAGCATGGTCCTTCCTGCTCACGTAGACCTTGCTCTCTGCCCGGGTTTGCCAGTGCCTCCCTTTCTTTTGCCCTCTGTGAGCTCTCTAATTGGCCGCCCTGCCCGTGCTGGTTTGACTCTGGGGCTCTGTGACCTCCTTCTTGCTGTCCTCTGTCCTCTTCTCTGTGATAGTCCTGTGTGCATGCCCCCACCCCTGCCAGTGGAAAATACTTCATGTGTTCAGAACTGGAAAGAGGTTTTTTGTTTTTCTGAAAGTCTTTCCTAAATTGTGATCTGTGCTCATCGTTACCATAGTGCATTTGGTGATGATACAATGTGCTTTTTTTATTTCTGTCACAAAAATGATTGGGTTCTGTAAGCCTTGTTTTCCATCTAAAGCTGCCTTGTGGTGAGCTGGTTTACTGGGCTTCATTTTCTGAAGGTAGAGCCCCATCCTACACAGGGTGGCGTCTGTGGAGATGGTGTCTGAGTTTGCTTGTGCTCACAGACCAGCACCGCCCCCTGGCCGGCGCACCTGTGGGCGTGCCTCTCTGCTTGGCCTGTTTGTTGTAGCGGCTGTGGCAGCTTCGTTGAGTTTTCTGTGTTACACGTGACTTGGTTGTTTGAAATCCTAAAACATGGAAGATTTCTAACCTAGGTGTGTGTCTCCATGTAGCCTGCTCCCTGCCTGGGGAGGGAAAGGTAAGGATGAAGGAAAGGGCTTCTGTGGAGTACAGTGCAGCCACAGGCACCCACACGGGGGTCTGCGGGGGCTCTGCTTCATTGTGCAGGCCTGCCTTCCAGCGGGCACCCGCCCTGAGTGCCCAGCATTGCTGGTGCAGTCCACGTTCAGGCTCAGACCTGCGTCCATGGCAAGGCCACCTGAGGTGGCCACAAGGCTGGAACCAGGAGGTGTCCGTTTGTGGGGCCGGGGCAGGTCTGTGTGAGAGTGGAGCTGGAGAAGAAGCAGGGGGGTTGGATTTTAGCCACCCGCCCCCAGATGTGTGTGGATGGAAGGAGCCGGAGCAGGCCTGGCCTGTTGAACCTCTTCTGGTGGCAGGGCCCCACTTCCCCTCAGGCCCCAAGGCTTGGCAGGACCCAGCCCCACTGCCGCGGGACGGGGGTGCCCGCCGCAGGCTCCAGGCTTCCTCCTTCCCCGTCCCTTCCTCACAGCGAGTGTAGACACCAAACACTAACAAGCCAGAAGTCAGCGGGGCCAGGGACAGGCTGGTGAGGAACCATCTGTAATGCCAAGCTGTTGGCTTTGCAGAGTATCGGGGAATGGAGACGGGGTCCAGAGAGGGCACAGGAGGCACCACTAGCACAGCTCGGGGGGGCGGGGGGCGGGTCCCACCCCACAACACCCGTAGGGCTGCCTGGTTCCCCAGGGCTGTCTGATGAATCGTGGTTGCATTTGTTTTGGTGACAAGCAGAAGATTGGGAATACGGCTAAAAGTTTAAGCAATTAGGAAAATGCTGAGGAAATGAGATACAGAGATAGAGGAGTGGGCGCTGGCTGCTCACACCTGTCATCCAGCAGCTCGGGAGGCTAAGATCTAAGGATCACCGTTCAAAGCCAGTCAGGGCAAGAAAGTTCATGAAGTTTTTTTGGTTTTTGGGTTTCTTTGTCAGTCATGGGGCCTGAACTCTGGGCCTGGGCGCTGTCCCTCAGCTCTTCAGCTCGAGGCTGGCGCTCTACCACTTGAGCCACAGTGCCACTGAGATAAGAGTCTCACAGACTTTGCTGCCCGGGCTGGCTTTAAACTGCCATCCTCAGATCTCAGCCTCCTGACTAACTAGGATGACCAGGCTGCTCGAGATTTTTATCTCCAATTAACTACCAAAAAGCCAGAAATGGAAGTGTGGCTCAAGTGATAGAGGGAAAAAAATGCTTAGGGATAGAGCCTAAGCCCTGAGTCTAAGTTCAAGCTCTAGAATTGGTATAAAAGAGAGAGACAGAGAAAGGAGAGAGAGAAAGGGAGGGAGGGAGGATGGTGTCATGAAAGTAAAGGCTGGCAGGTTGTGTGCAGGGGTGACAGTGTCAGTCAGGGGTGTTTCTCAACGTTGGTGACCCACACGAGGTCACTGTTGGCAGCTCCAAGCCAGGTGCAGGCCCACTGTTCACCAGACATTGGAGACTCAGGGTGTGAAAATGGCCTTGGGGCCAGAAGGAGGCCAGTTCTGCAGTCTGGCTTGCAGACAGCAGAGCCCACAGGCTGCTGTATGTAGGCCTCGTGGAGGAAGGGAGCTGGGGGAGGCGGTGGGAAGGTGTGCCCCCGCCCCTGCCAAGATGAGAACCCCAAGTGCAGACATGAGCACCTAACAGAGCAACTCCACACTTTGCATTGCAGTACGCAGTGTATAGTCAAGCCAGCACCATGAGCATTCCGGTTGCAATGGACACAGATGGGCCTCAGTATGAAGATGTGCAGGTGCTGAGAAAGACAGGGAGCGACGAGGCTCATCAGGTAAAAGTGAGCTCAAGCAGTGCTGCTCCAGAAATGCCAGCATCCCAGTAGCTAACATGGATCGTGTCAGCCTTCCGCTTCAGCTAAAATTATAGATCCTACTTGGCAATCCTTTAAGGAACGTTTGATCTCTAGATTTTAATAATCAGATTACTAGAAACAGTCTTTCATGGTTGTGTGTCTGCAATTTTTTTCATTTACTTTAACATTAGTAATCCCAAATCTATTCTTTATATATGTTAATGAGCAAAATCAAAAGCTTTGCAGTAATATCTTGCCACCTGCTTTTCCCTTTCCATCTCTCTGACTTCTGCTGTGGCCCAGAGACACCTCTTTTAGTTCTTCACAGGTGCACAGTATGCTGGAAGGAGCCTGGGCCCAGGCCTTTGTGGCAGCACCTCAGGCAGTACACATGCTCTGAGGTCTGTTTTCCATGGTGGAGACAGCACTTGGATCCGCAAGCCTCTTTCTGCTGAACTGGGAATGTACACAGATAGGCTTCAAAGAAGTACTCCCACTTGGGTTTGAAGAGCCTTTGTGTATGTGTGCTAGTCCTGGGCTTGAACTAGGCCTGGGAACTGTCCCTGAGCTTTTTTGCCCAAGTCTAGCACTGTACCACTAGAGCCACAGTGCTACTTCCAGCTTTTTTTAGTGATTAATTGGAGATAAGAGTCTTGTGGACTTCCCTAACCAGGCTGGCTTCCTGAACCTTGATTCTCAGATCTCAGTCTCCTGAGTAGCTAGGATTATAGGTGTGAGCCACCAGTACCCAGCTCTTTTAACTTTTTTTTTTTTTTTCTTCCAGTCTTGGGACTTGAACTCTGGATTTGTGCGCTATTGCTCAGCTCTTCAGCTCAAGGCTAGTGTTCTACCACTTAAGCCACAGCACCACTTCCAGTTTTCTGGCGGTTAATTAGAGATAAGAATCTCACAGACTTTCTGCCTGGGCTGGCTTTGAACCATGATCCTCAGATCTAAACCTCCTGAGTAGTTAGGATGACAGGCACCCTGCCTTTTTTAATGTGGCTTTTAGAAGATTTGGAATTGCATGCATAGCTGGTGTTGTGTTTGGATGGGCAGCCCCTCTACAGGCTTTTTCTCACAGTGCTATGCACAGAGGTTTCTTGGCACTGTGTACCTGTGATGTCTTCCTGCTCAGACAATCCCTCAGCCTTAGTTAAGTCAAAAAATAAGCAAATACTTCTTTCAGCTCATCAGAGCCTGAAAAAAAATTTAAAAATGAAATGGAAAAACTCAGCAGACACCTAATAAGCATCAGGAACTATATATTTTTTTCAATCTAATCCAGTTGGATTCCATGCTTTGCTCATAAGGATTATTCTCTTTTTTTTTTTTTTTTTTTGGGGTCCGGTCATGGGGCCTGAACTCTGGGCCTGGGCGCTGTCCCTCAGCTCTTCAGCTCAAGGCTAGCACTCTACCACTTGAGACACAGCGCCACTTCCGGCTTTTTTTTCTTATGTGGTGCTGAGGAATCGAACCCAGGGCCTCGAGCAAGCAAGGCAAGTGCTCTACCACTGAGCCACCTTCCCAGCCCGGATTATTCTCTTCATTTATTTTTTTTTTTGTGGGGGTCTGGTTGTGGGGCCTGAACTCTGGGCCTGAGCATTGTCCCTCAGCTCTTCAGCTCAAGGCTAGTGCTCTACCCTGACTTGAGCCACAGCACCACTTCCAGCTTTTTTCTTTTTGCTTATGTGGTGCTGAGGAATCAAACCCAGGGCCTCATGCATGCAAGGCAAGTGCTCTACCACTGAGCCACCTTCCCAGCCCCTCTTTTTTTTTTTATGTTTATGTGGTACTGAGGAATCGAACCCAGGGCTTCATGCATGCTAGGCAAGCACTCTACCACTAAGCTACTTTTCCAGCCAAGGGATTTTTTTTTTTCAGTGATGGGGCTTGAACTTAGGGCCTGGGCGCTGTCCCTCAGCTCGTCAGCTCAAGGCTAGGACTCTAACTCTTGATCTACAGTGCCACTTCCAGTTTTCTGGTGTTTTATTGGAGTTTAGAGTCTCACAGACTTTTCTGCCTGAGCTGGCTTTGAACTGCGATCCTCAGATCTCAGCCTCCTGAGTAGCTAGGAATGAGCCACCTCCAAGGATTATTCTTAACAGATTTCATCCAAAAAAATATTTTTGTTTTCCTATATTCTATCTGTGAGGTTTTAATTCTCCTCCTTGATTTTTTTATTTTTGTGCTGGTCCTGGGGTTTCAACTCAGGGCCTGGGCTCTGTCCCTAAGCTGCTTTTGCTTAAGGCTAGCGCTCTACCACTTGAACCACAGCACCACTTCCAGCTTTTTCTGTTTATCTGGTGCTGAGGAATTGAACCCAGGGCCTCATGCATGCAAGGCAAACACTCTACCACTGAGCCACCTTCCCAGCCCTTGATTTTTTTTTTTTTTAACTGGAATGGAAAAATAATGGAAGTACATCTTTTTTTTTTTTTTTTTTTAAATTTTATTTTATTTTATTTGAGAACATACTGTACAGAGGGGTTACAATTACATGGGCAGGATAATGCATACATTTCTTAGGAAGTACATCTTTTATTGTGCTAGTAATAGTGCTGAAATTTGAACTTAGGCACTCTACCACTTAACCCACAGCCCTGGCCCTAAGGTCATCTTCTTTATTTTAATTTTTCACCTTTGAGTTTGCCAAAGGAAGGCCAGCTGAACCCTACCCTGAGTCCCTCAGGGGAGACTCCATATGTCATCCATGCTGTGGGAAGCCTGCCAGGGATTTGATCTCATGTTTATTCTTAAGACACTTGGGAGTCAGGAGTGGCAGCATACACCTGTGATCTCAGTTTCTTGAGAGGCAGAGATAGGAGGTCACAGGCTGACTGGAACAGATACAGGTGCCAGACCCTGTCTAAAAAGCAAAGGCCTCTGAGTTCAATCCCCAATACTGTTTTTAAAAAGGGGGGGGGGGGGAGAAGAGAGGGAGAGAGGGAAGGAAGCACTTGATAGGAATACAAACCAAACTGTGTGTGGTGGTGCATGCCTATAATCCCAGCTTTCTAGAGACTGAGGCATTAAGATAAGTTCTAGGCCAGCCTAGGACTGTTTTTGCAATAAGGCCTAGTGAGGCTTTATCTCTAAATAAATAAATAAATAGCATTCTCTCTTTTTTTTTTTTTTGGGGGGGGGGGTCCGGTCGTAGAGTCTGAACTCTGGGCCTTGGCGCAGTCCCTCAGTTCTTCAGCTCAAGGCTAGTGCTCTACCACTTGAGCCACAGCGCCACTTCCAGCTTTTTTCTTTTTGCTTATATGGTGCTGAGGAATCGAACCCAGGGCCTCATGCATGCAAGGCAAGCACTCTACCACTGAGCCACCTTCCCAGCCCATAAATAGCATTCTCATGTCAAGCGACACTGCCTTTGGGTGGAGTCTGGTGTTGTAGGATGCTCAGAGCCATGCTCCTTCTCAACTGGTTGCCCCAACCTCCACCCTTCCCAGGGGTCATGTCCGATCCTGAGGACCCTGTGGAAGGAACTAGCCTGACGTTTTCTGCTCACCTTGTCCTAAAGGGAGGTATGGATGGCAGTCTCTGAGAGGACTCCTATGGCATGTGTGCCTTCTCTTCCACCCTGTTCCTGAGTCAGAATGCCACAGGAATCATTTCCCCAATGAATGGCCTCTTTAGAGTCCCAACAGGCATTTTCCCATTCGATTAACAAGCCGAGTCCACTAGAGTCCACTAGAGATCAGGAGGCAGATGCATCTCAAGTTAGAGCACAGCTTGGCTATGTTACAAGACCCTTTCTGAAAAGTAAAACAAGATAAAATTCCTGTGGAAACATAAAGGACCTAGAATAGCCAAAACTACCTGAGAAAGAACAGAGTCGGGAGACTAGCAGCACTTCCCAGTGTCAGCACTCGATGATTTCCATGAACTCATTCAGATTCAGTTGGATCTCAGCCTGTGTAGATTAAGATATTTATGAAGTATGAACTTGTAGGCTTAATATTTGGAAGGAGAAGCCAGTCACCAGTGGCTCACGCCTATAATCTCCGCTACTCAGGAGTCTGGGATCTGAGGATCGAGGCTTGAAGCCAATCTGAATATACAGATCTGAGAATCTAAGAGACTCTTATCTCCAGTTAACCAGCAAAAATTTGCAAATAGAGGTATGGCTCCAGTGGAAAAGAGCCAGCGTTGAGCAAAAAAGCCAAGTGAGAGTCAGAGGTCCAGGGTTTAAGTCCCAGCACTGTCATGAAAAGAAAAGAAGAAAGAGAGAGAGGGGGGCTGGGAAGATGGCTCAGTGGTAGATCACTTGCCTTGCATGCCTGAGGCCCTGGGTTCGATTCCTCAGCACCACATAAGCAAAAAGAAAAAAGCCGGAGGTGGCGCTGTGGCTCAAGTGGTAGAGCGCTAGCCTTGAGCTGAAGAGCTGAGGGACAGCGCCCAGGCCCAGAGTTCAGGCCCCACTACCGGACCCAAAAAAAAAAAACAAAACAAAAACAGAAAGAGAGAGAGAGAGTAGATGTTTGAAGTCATTTTCCTGAAATTCTCTCAAAAAGAAAACAGATGCCAAGTGCCAGGTGAGGTAGCCCAGGCTAAGTCTGGAGGAGTGGGGACCCAAGGCCAGCCTGGGCTATCAAGTGAGACCCTGTCCCCAAACGGAGCAAACAAGCCAGGTGCAGGGGGCTACTTAGGAAGCCAAGAACCAGAAGATTGAGGTTCAAAGTCAACCTAGGTAGAAAAGTCTGTGAGACCCCATCTCCAAAATAACCAGCAAAAAGCAAGGCTGGGGTGTGACAGCACCCGAGCTGAGCAGCGTAAGACCCCAAGTTCAACCCCAGTATCCAAAACAAAAAAAGTTATAGCCAAATGCTAAGGTTCAGGGATCTTGTATTTTGTTATTTGGATATGTTCAGTGCCCCTTCAATCTGATTTTCAACTAATTTTGTTTTTCCAAAGTGATTCCATTTCCTGTAAATAAGCTTGGCCGCTGGGTCGGGAGGGGCGGAGGGGGAGTGCATCAAGCTCACCCTTAACCACTAGTTAGCAGCCACTCAGACTGCTGGCTTAGATTTCCTTTGAGAAACTCGTGTTGCCCTATAGAGAACATCCAAAGAAAACTAGAAAGTTTCATATGAATAGCACTGATATCAGAGATGTTTAAAATATTTACGATTCTCGTTTTTAACAGTTGGTCGCAAGAAAAGCAATGTCAAGCCCGCAAGTGAGGAAGGTGTAGAGACGGAAGGTAGGCAGTGCAGGTATCTGTCATGAAATGCGTAGAGTATGCTTAAGGCTTTACGTCTGTGAGGAAAGTTGACCAGAGAAAAGAATGTGGTATACATGAAGTATTTTCCCTTTTTTGCATGTCACCCATGTCATCCAGCTTGGGATGGTGTAGTCAAGATAAAACAAGCTTTTGATAAGTCGTGCCTCAAACTAATTTGGAGTTGAAGTTACGCCTTTCTAAAAGGAAGAAAATGTGCACGGTCCTGTGTTCCTCTCCCCCGATCTGACAGCCCTGGGGGAGACACACGCTGCAGCTCAGGCTGCTCCTCTGTGGGGCCTCCGCAGAGCTGTCCTCGGCCAGCTCTGTCTGGTCCTTTCTTGTCAGTCCACCCATGCCTGCATGCCACCAGCATGTCCCCAGAGGCCCCCCACCCTCGATGACTGTCTGCGTGATGTCTCGTTTCTCCCCCCTCCTGTGTTCCTTGTCCCTTTGTGGTTCGTCCTTTGTCCCCTCCTGGTGTGTAAGATGACTCTCTGCCTCACACGCTGACTTGAAATGCCCAAGCCCACACACATCCATCAGCTGCCCGAGATCCCGCAAGCCCCAGGGCCCAGCCGATTTTCTCCTTTGCCTGCATTGCTTCTAGCTCCAAGTATTTAATAACTGTTTTATTTTATCTTTCTCTATTAAAATGTTTCCTCTTTTTGAAGTGCTCATTTCCACGGGTGATCATATATTTTGTTTATATAAAAACTTACTTGATTTGGTTTGGTTTACACATCAGTATACCACAGGCATAAAATTCAGGGTAGGATTTCACCTCTCAAGTATCTGATGGGTTGAAGGCAAACCTGCTTTGCAAGCTACAGACAGCACTCTGAAGTGCTGTGCCTAACAACACCAAAAAGATGAGGCAGGAAGATCAGGAGTTTGAGGCCAACTTGGGCTACATAACAAGATCCTGCCTCAAAGATAGATAGATAATAGGTGATGAAGAAGATGGATTGTGAATAGAAGGATGGATGATAGATAGATAGATAGATAGATAGATAGATAGACAGACAGACAGACAGACAGACAGACAGACAGACAGATAGATAGATAGATAGATAGATGAGAGAAAGAGAGAGAGTGCTGACAGACAGACAGTCTCTAAGGGAACCGGTGGCATTTGCCATCTCCGGACTCTGGTTCTCCACTATCTCACGCTGGTGCTGAGGAAGGAGGAGCCAGGCCCAATGTCCTGTCTGTTGGAGAAACTGAACAGAAAGGAAAACAATTCTGGTTACACAACTTTGATCCAACAAAGCTGCTAACTATCTGGCAGTCTTTGACATATACACTGCTTCTTGTTTTATTTCAAAATACTGGTGCTAATGTAGTAGCCCTCCTTTAAAACTGAATTCCTTTTTTTAACTATTATTCCTGAAAATGAGTGTGTTGAGTATGTAAACTTCCTACCAAGAAACCTGCCCTTTCTTTGCAGATACACTTTTCTAAATCGACTTGCAAAAATGGGATTCACTTAATTTTTTAAAGTCTTTTTTTTTTTTTTTTTTTTTTGTCGGTTGTGGGGCCTGAACTCTGGGCCTGGGCGCTGTCCCTCAGCTCTTCAGCTCAAGGCTAGTGCTCTACCACTTGAGCCACCACAGCCCCACTTCTGGCTTTTTTCTTTTTGCTTATGTGGTGCTGAGGAATCGAACCCAGGGCCTCATGCATGCAAGGCAAGCGCTCTACCACTGAGCCACCTTCCCAGCCCCTTTTAAAGTCTTAAGTTTCAGAAAGGCAATGGAATGGGCAAAGGAGTCTTGTTCCTTAATAATAATGCAAATTATGGCTTTATAAGCCCATTTGCACCTCTTATTTTTAAATAATTTTTAATTTAGACAGAGGTTTTTCGTCCTACAGAGGGTTTCTTACTGGTTTTAAATCTGGTTTGACTATGCTTTTTGTTCATTCTCTTTACCTCAAGAGGAAATTTCTACTTAAATGTCCTGGGATGCCCAGGCTGTGAAATAACGTTGGCAGTGGCTGTTTGATGAACGAGGTGGGCCTGGCCCTGGCATTCTGTCAACACTACACATTGTAGAAAGGCAGCCGCCAGCCATCGGATGGCGTTTTGGTGATGGCCTGGTGGTCTCCCATGGTGGCGGGGCCCCGGCTTTCCCGAGGCACACACCTGCCACACCTCATAATTCTCCCCCTGCTCTGAAGTCAAGACAGCTCAGAGCGCAGCCAACGCCACTGCATTTCTAATTCCAGGCCCAGAAAGATCTGAAGAAGGACCGTCCTCTTGCGCGCCGCAAGTCCGAGCTGCCCCAGGACCCTCTCACCAAGAAAGCCTTGGAAGCTCACTGCAGGGCCGACGAGCTGCTCTCCCAGGACGGGCGCTAGGCTGGCGCAGCGTCGGCCCGGCCTGCCCGTCTCTTCTGGATTCTGTAGAAAATACATACTGTGTGTGCCACACCCGTCAGCTCCACTCAGAGCTTCCTTCCACCCCGTTCTGTAGGCGACCACGCGCACCTGCCTCAGCTCGAGATGAGGAGTTCAAACAATGGTGGTTCTCAGACCCCACGGGCCAGGCTGGGGTGGGGGGGAGGGCGGGTGACAGTGTCCCCACGAGGTCCTACCCTCCCCAGCATCACCCTCAGTAAGACTGTCACCAAACCAGAGCTGTAGGAAAGCACCCTGGCCCTCATGCCCCTGCTCCACACACACAGCATTCGTGACCCTTCCAGATAGGTGGCTCTGCGGTAGTTCCAATGTTCTGCAGATCAGAGGAACACTTGGAAAAGTACCGCCTACCTTTACGACTGCACAGCCTTTCAGATGCTCCCACAGGTGGCTAGGCCCGCGTTTTTGTCTGTGTGATCTCGCGGGTTGGCTCTCCGCTTTCATGTTCTCGAGCCTCCCGGAAAGTGTCGTGACAATCCTGGCGCTGGCCATGCCTGCCGAGGTGTCCTTCACCCTGCTTCCCCCACGCACGCCAGGCCCTGCTGCTCTCGTCTACCGAAAGCCATATTTCCCAGTCTGTGCCAGCACCAGGGTTCCGAGGGAAGCTCGCGCCAGGCAGTCCTTCCAAAAGCTTTCTCTGTCACCTTGACTGGATTGGAATTTTTCAATTATGTGCTCATATTTTTATTTACAGAATCAGTTTTTTTTTTCATCTACTTACACATTGGGTACCCTTCCACAAGACTCTTGAAGTGATACAGTTACAGTGTCTAAGAACCTCATACTTCCAGGGGGAAGTTGGAAGGAGTCTGGCGCTTGGCCTATGGCAAGCTGCGGCCTCCGCCTTTGGGATAACTGTGGGCCGGCCAGGCCCCGCCCCACCCCCAGCTCACCGGCTCCTTTGGGGGGGAAGGGGAGGGAGAAGCAGTGGGGGGTGTCGGGGAGTGGCCTGCGCTCTGTGAGGAAGGGGCACACGCACCAGCTGCGGAAGGAAAATGCGGTGTCTTGAGTTTTCACTGTCTTCATAATGCTGCTATATATTTCCCAGAATTCTTGCATGGATTAAGCTTTTGTTTTAGATGGGATAGCACGAGGAGAATTCCTTTAAACTTAGTGCTTTTGTCTATTCTTTATTTCTCTCAGGGTGGCCAGTATTTTGACTTACTTATCCTGCTTGAAAGCTACTTGAGATGTGCACTGCTGTTCTGAACAGTGACTTAGTTTCTTTCGTCTCTGGCATATACATATATAAATACATATATATAAAACTTAATGTTAAATGTCTTGATGCATAAGAGATAAAATGTGGCTTCTTTTAGGATCTGTTTTTAATCGTGGTCTCGGGTATCCATAAAAAGATGGTGAAATCCAACATTGCCCCTTGGGCGGCCTCAGTGCCTGCTGCCCGGCTTTCCTTGCGGTCCACTGAAGATGCTTCTTTGCTGAGTCTGGGAGGAGCGCGCCCTGCGGGGAGGGGAGAGGCCGCCTGTGCTGAGGGTCAGCACCGGCTGGGCCTGGCGGGGCGGCTGACAGGGGGCCGGGCCTGGTCAGAACACTTCCTGAGAAACTTGACAAGTATCTATCCATTTTACCATTATGAAATCTATAATTTAAAAACAAGTTGAGATGCCTTCTCCTTTTGAGGGAAAAAGGGTGCTTTTTATTGTATAAAGCAGCGTCTTATGTATTTTGATATACCATTGTTTGAACTTCCGTCTTTAGCTGATAGATTCTCAGAGGCCCCTGACCGGGGTGCTGAGGAGGTGGGGCTCCCCTCGGCCCTAGGGGAGAATGGAGATATCAGTGTCGGGTGATTGTGTAAAGCTCAACGTATAAAAACATCTTCTGGTCTAGGTTTTATTTCTGCTCTTTATTGAAGACAAACATTCACCAATAAGGGGAAGAAAAGCAGTTTTGAGAGAAACTAATTTTCTTGGACAAGAGTATTGCTTAATATTTTGGCCTATTAAAGTTACCTAATTAGTACTCGGATTCCCTGTGCGAATGGTTCAGCTTATATATATATATATCATACTGAGATACTGTTCACTCTGTACCAAACAGATTTCAGAAGTACTGCGTTGAAAATAAACTGGTGACTGTTTTTCTTCATAAAGTTCTGCATTTGGCATCGTCACTCTTCCCAGAAATGTATCTGTGCATCAAATGTCACAGTTCCCAGTGTCTTCTTAGTGTGGCTTTAGGATGGCTTCCTTTTAATATTGTACATACATTGTATCTTTGTTTTATGGTAATAAGTAATAAAAATGTAGACTTCATATTTTGTACAAAAATGTCCTATGTACAGAATAAAAAAAGTTCATAGAAACAGCAAAAATAGGTAAGTGGCACAATTATTTTTTTTCTTTAGGAAATACCTGTAACTTTATGCTTTCGTGAAATGTTAAGTACCTACATATTTTTTAACATTTTGTAATTCAGAACTTTTTGTTTTGACATTGTTTATGAAGAGGAACTTCATACACCTGCCACTTAATATGCTCTTTTACCTAATTTTAAAGAACTCTTAAAACGGTGTATTATATGAACTAAATAAAGAACATGTGAATTTTATTGCTCATCCTGAAACTAAATTAGCCCCGGCACCGGGCAGGCCGGGCTGACGCCGCCGGCCGGGGGCAGAGGAGGCGGCCGGCCCTTCCAGGCTCGGAGCCCATCGCGGAAGCTGAAGGCGCAGGGCCAGCAGCCTGTCAGCAGCATCTTGGTTTTTGAGGAGTCAGATGAGAGCCAGACACGTTAAGAAAATGCGTTGAGGGCTGGGATGGTGGCTCAGTGGTAGAGCGCTTGCCTTGCATGCGTGAGGCCCCGGGTTCGATTCCCCAGCACCACGTAAGCCAAAAGAAAAAAGCGGGAAGTGGCGCTGTGGCTCAAGTGGTAGAGTGCTAGCCTTGAGCTGAAGAGCTGAGGGACAGCGCCCAGGCCCAGAGTTCAGGGCCCACGACCCACAGAAAACAGTTCCCTGAAACGCCTCCCTGTGAGCCGAGGCCGGGCCCGGCCGCCGCCTCCCCGGCCCCGCCGTCCAGTCCGGGCACGCAGGCCCCGCGGCCCCGCGTGCTCCGCCACGCTCCGCTCCACCCCCCCCCCCACGGGACACCCCCTCCCCCTCGGGACACCCCCCCGGGGGCCCCCCTCCCCCGCGGGACACCCCCCCGGGGGCCCCCCTCCCCCGTGGGACCCCCCCCTCCCCCTCGGGACACCCTCTCGGGGGACCCTCTCCCCCCACGGGACACCCCCTCCCCCTCGGGATACTCCCCCGCGGGACCCCCCCCTCCCCCTCGGGATACTCCCCCGCGGGACCCCCCCCTCCCCCTCGGGATACCCTCCCGGGGGACCCCCCTCCCCCGCGGGACACCCCCCCCGGGGGACCCCCCCTCCCCCTCGAGACACCCCCCCGGGGGACCCTCTCCCCCCACGGGATACCCCCCACGGGATCTCCCCCCCCCGCGGGATATCCCCCCCGGGGACCCCCCCCTCCCCCGTGGGACCCCCTCCCCCCGCAGGTCCCCTCTCCCAAGGGACCCCCCCCCCTTTCTGAGGGACCAGCTGGTGCTCTACCACCTGAGCCACACCTCCAGCCCATGCAGGCGCTCTTGAAGGGACGGATGGGGGAGGCCGGTCGGCGGGGTCCGGGAGGCCGGCGGGGCTGCTGCAGCCGCAGGGCCCGGGAGCGCGGCGGAGGCCGCCGCCCGCAGCCACGCCAGCCCGAGTGGGTGCGGGCGACGCGGGCCCCAGTGGGTGCGGCCTGAGCCCTGCAGCAAGCCCTGCCCCTCACCACCCAGTCCCCCAGAGGACCGCGGGGCCTCACACTCGTGTCCTCCGCTGTGGGAGATGTGGAGGCCCCTGAGCCCACGGTAAGGTCACAGGGCGGCCCTGCGCAGGCCTGGAGGGCGGGGGGGGGGGGGGGGGGGACGGAGGGGAGGACAGGGGACAGAGCTCGGGGACGGGACCTGAGCACCCCTGGGACCCCCACCGGCCACGGCAGGCCTGGCAGGCGCGCACCCCGGACCCGGGTCAGCATCAAATTAGCACAAATGTATGAACAGATGGCTCTATCCGAGGCGGGCGGGAGGGGTTCTATGCCTGAGGTTTCCGGTCCTCGGGGTGTAACTTGGCGGCTGTTCTCGGTGCTGTTGCGTGCATGTGGGGTTGACTTGGTTTGGGTTTTGTGTGTGTGAGAGAGAAGGAAACTAAGTAGAAAGATGCCCAAACTGACTCGGCGCTAACTGTCCCCATGTCCCCACACTCACCCATCATTCCTTTCTACTTTTTTGTCTTTTTTTTTGTCAGTCGTGAGGCTTGAATTCTGGGCCTGGACGCTGTCCCTCAGCTCCTCAGCTCAAGGCGAGTGCTCTACCGCTTGAGCCACAGCGCCACTTCCAGTTTTCTGGTGGTTCATTGGGGATAAGAATCTCATGGACTTTCCTGACTCAGCTGGCTTTGAACCGTGATCCTTGTATCTCAGCCTCCTGAGTAGTGAGGATTACAGGCATGAGCCATCTGTGCCTGAGACCACATGCTTTTACTCTTGAGTATCTAGAAGCTTCTTGACAGTAGGTCCTCAGCTGGGAGATCACCCAGTATGGGCACACTGTTGGGGGCCAGGCAGAATGGGGTATCACCTTCTAAATGGAAGTGGGACTAAGGCCCAAGCTAGCGAAATTAGGCTGACCCCAGAGCTGGGTTAAGGGGCTGATAATGTATGTATGTGTGCATGCATGTGTATGCATGTGTGCATGCTTGGGCACATGTGTATACACGTGGTGGTACTTGGGCTTGAACTCCAGGCTTAATTATTGCTAGGTAGGTGCTCTACCATTTGGGCCAAAGCTCCACTTTGGTTTTTTGTTTATTTGTTTGGGGGTGGGAGCTAAGTGGTTAATTGGAGATAAAGAATCTTAAGGATTTTCCTGCCCAGGCTGGCTTTGAACCATAATCCTCAGATCTACGCCTTCAGAGTAGCTAGGATTACAGGCAAGAGCCACCAGTGCTCAGCAGGAAAATGTCTTTACTGAATAAAATAAACATTCACACATTTCCTACACAGAAAGAAAAAAAAAGTCCTACATTAAAAAAAAAAAAGCTCAGTTTTTGCAACTGCTTGGGGGAAAGCTCGGAGAACCATCTTTGGCCCATCATATGGCCATAACGTTCTGTTCTGCTGCTCCCAACCTCAACCACACCCACTGCCTGGAGAATCGCCCTCACGCAGGCCAGGCGCAAGATGAGATGGGAAGCAGACTGGTGTCAGCAGGGAGCATCCGTAACTTCCAGAACCACTAACCCTTTGTTCTCTCTGCTCCCAGGGCTGGCAGTGCTGCCTGGCTAGGTCTTCTCTTGGGTCAGGGTGCTATGTGATTGAGGCTCCCACTGCCTTTACTTGGGATGTTTCCGTGAATCCCCCTTTAACCAAGTACTCTGCCCCCCTGCAGGCCTATCAACTCTTTTGTACAAGGCTGTGACGTGAGCACAGGTGCCTGCTGCTTTGAGCTCATTGGTTTCTGCAGTTAGGTTCTGTCCGTGAGGTCCATGGAGCCTTCTTGGATTCATGTCTACTTTTGGATGTTGTTCGGTCAGCTTGCTTGGTTTCAAGGTTTTTGTTCATGTGTGTATGCATGTGTGTGCACGTGCACACACACCTGTGTGCCAGTCCTGGGGCTTGACCTTAAGTCCTGAGCACTGACCCTTAGCCTTTCCATTCAAGGCTGTTACTCGATCATTTGAGCCACAGCTCCACTTTTGGCTTCTTGCTGGTTAATTGGAGCTGAGTCTCACAGACTTTCTTGTCTGGCTGGCTTCCAAACATGATCCTCAGATCTCAGCCTCCTGAGTATCTGGGATCACAGGCGTGGGCCATGCAGGGCAGTTGGCATCATTTTTGTGTGTATGCACATGCAAATGGTCTGTTGGGGTTTTTTGTCCGTCTACTTACTCGTGAATGTATTTGGTGAGGAAAAGATCTAAATGGCGGGCATGAGATGGTGAGTTAAGAGCCACTAAGGAGCAGAGTGTGCTGAGAGACAGCTTCATCCCAACACTTGGAACACGAAGGCAGGAGGGGTCATAAAAAGTTAGTGATACTCCCTCTCAAACACACCAGATGTGGTAGTTCAAGCCTATAATCCCAGTTACAAGGGAGACCTCAGGGAAGAGGATCAGGGTCTGAGGCCAGCCCCAGGGAAAACCATGAGGCACTTCCCAAAATATAACTAACACAAAATCCAGGCTGGAGTGTGGCTCACATAGACGAGGCTCAGACCCCAAACCTCAGTACCACCAACAGTGAATCCCCACAGGGCTGCCCCTCCCCCACCCTGTGCCCGCAACTAATGCCCCACACTTAGAGCGCTAGCCCCACGTGGTGAGCACCAGCTGGAGTGCCAGCCCGGGGACTTGGGTGGAGCCTGCACTTGGGGCTGGCCGCACCGCCTTCACCCCAGGTCCCTGCCAGTGCAAGCATGGAATGTACACGCATGGCACATGTGGCCCGGGAAGCGAGAGCGCAGGGCAGGGCTGCCAGGCTCACATGGCTATTTTTATTTCTCCATTTAATTTTGTGTGCAGATAGTGGGCTTGAGTTCTAGGACTTATGCTCTAACAGCTTTTTCAAAAAAAAGAAACACAAACAAACTCATGGCTTGGTGCTCTACCACTTGAGCCATGCTTCAATCTTTTACCTGATAACTAGAGATAAAAATATCTCCTAGCCGGGCGCTGATGGCTCACACCTGAAATCCTAGCTCCTCAGGAGGCTGAGATCTGAGGATTGTGGTTCAAAGCCAGCCTGGGCAGGAAAGTCTGTGACACTCATCTCCAATTAACTACCAGAAAACAGGAAGTGGTGCTGTGGCTCAAGTGGTAGAGCGCTCGCCTTGAGCTGAAGAGCTGATGGACAGAACCCAGGCCCAGAGTTCAAGCCCCACAACCAAAAAAAAAAAAAAAATCTCCTGTATTTATCTGCTTGGGTTGGCTTTCAATTGCCATCCTCCTATCTCAGCCTCCTGAGTAGCTAGGAGTACAGGCGTGAGCCACTGGACATTAGAGACAGGGACAGGTTGAGAGCAAGGTCCTACAGGAGAAGTGACCACTAGCTTTAAGGCTGCTCTGGATAGAAAACGGGACTGGGAAAGGAAAGAAACCCAAAACAGCAGGTGAGGTTGATTCTAGCTGTTACTGAAGAGTTGACATCCTGATAGGAGTTCACAGGAAGGTGAGCAGGGAGACGGCCTTTAGATTTCGGATGCCAGTCAGTGAGTTTCTATCAGAAAAAGACAAACTCATCTATGTGAGAGGAGAATGGGACAGAACGCCATGCAAGGGCATTTGGGTGCAGGTCCTGTGACCAGGAAGTTTGGGGAAAAGCAGGGTAGTGGCTTCACAGAAGCCAGGAGCAAGAGGTTCGAACGGAGAGTGAGCAATAGAGTGGCGACCGCTGGTGTGGGCAGTGTGGAGGCCACTGTGGGCCCTGGGAAGACAGTGGGAGTGGGAGACAGGATGGAGGGTGAAGGCATGGATGGGGGGATCTGGCCTCGGTGAGACACTGTGGTCTCCAGTGG